TTTGTACAATATCTACATTATCTACAAGACATAAAATTGAGAAATGTAACACAAAGATGGTGAAATAAGATAATAAATTGAGAAAGAAAAAAGTGATTGAATAAATTGGCATTAATTGATTTAACACAATATCTAAATTTGAAGAAATTATACCTAATGGATAGACAATGACTAAAATTTCTGCAGAATGTCTGGTATTCTTAACACACATTTGTTGGAGAACATTAAAAGTTATTAGAACATAGTTTGAGCATCCCTCTTTTATTTACATTAAGAGGATCATTATATGAAGGCACTTATAAAGCACTTTCAAAGCAGTTAAGGCACCAATTGGAAGACCTACAGTATCATGCTTTGTGACTCAAAATGCATATGCAGACAGTTTATATAGTTTTAGTTATACATGGTTTCCTGAACTAGTACTTCCTAATATACCAAGACCATCAATTTAGGTACCTTCTCTGAACTCTTACAAAAGTGTACTTTTTGTTAGTTTTTTATTATTTTGTATAAACACCATGTTACCTCTTTTCTTATGACAATTATACTCATTTGCAACAAGGGAAAGAAGGCAAGACATCAGATGTGACTGCAAACCAACCAACTTTACGGAGGCACACCTGAGAAAAACACGTTACTTGAGAATCTACATACTGAACACTGCTTATGGAGGCTGCAAAACAGATCCTTCTTTCCCTGTAAAGCTTCTGACTTAGATACACACAAGCAGAATAGAGAGAAAAGTAGAGAGAAAAGGAAAGATAGAAAAAAAACACCACCCAGTCAGATTAACCACAAAGCTACTAAAGTTAACACTGATGCAGACAGGCACATTGATGGCTTTAATGATTACGAGTACAGAGATGAAATTATTTTCATACCCTTGCTTACACTGTAAGAAAACATAAATATATCAACCTATATATTAGCTGCCACACTAAAATGACCAGCTTTAAAAGATGTGTGTCTTTAAAAGCTGTTACAATACATACAATAGATATTCTGTATATAATTAATCTCACAATTATAATCTCACAATGATGTATTTACACAAGATCATCTTCAGAGGTTGAGTTTCAGTTTCTATAAAATGTTACTTTTAGTTTGTAGTTAAATTTCCCTGTGTTTCTCGGGACAAAATTAACACACAAGACCTCATAGAAATTTAAAATGTATGAGGAGTCAATTTATGTTATGACTTGGCTGACAGTGATTCAACTAAATACTTGAATAACAACATTTAATCACTATTACAAAAAACAACGATACCACATGAAAAAAAAAGAAAAAGAAAAAAAGAAAAAAAAAGGAGCAACAAAACAAAATTTCCATGAGAACAAAGTAGTCTCAAAAATGCATTGTGGCCCCACTGATACTCTCTCACAGTGTGGTACTTCATTCAGCCTGGCTTTGTGTGACTACTGCCAAATTCACATGTTTGCATAGCCTATCAACAATTACTTGTGCTAAGACTTCTACACATAAGGACTTGCTTTTGTGTAAAAATATATATATTGTAAATCAAATCTGCTGTATTCTAGACTTCCTCATTCTCACAGTCTGCTAAACAATACCAGGCACAACACCATATATGTCAAACTAAACAAATACCCTGGTATACAATATATATACTTTGCTTGTCTTCCACTAATAGCATATTACATACTCTGAACTACTAGTGTGTATGCAGACTTGGTGTAATAGTCATATACCTGCACTGGGTCACCAATTCTTCATTGTTTTCAAGACTATAACAAAATCAATACACACCATGCATTGGGAGATGAGGTATAAAAAGGGATATAAATAGGATCAAACCTCAAAATCCACTCAACAGTAGGGTAGTACGTAAATGTTAAACAAATGGATTTTTCCTTTCTTGTTTTGTTAACATTTTCATCAGAATTTCTCATCCTTAAAGCATCAGCTACAGATACCATAACAATAGTAATCTGTTGTTATCCCAATTGGACAAGGATTTCCTTTTGCTGCTTCATCAATATTTCTAATCTACTGTCATGGAAATAAATACGAAGACTTCAAAATAATACACACACAAACATAGTCTTTCACAATACAACTGCACTGACATATTCCAGGATGTAAAGGTGGTTATTTTGGAAACCTTTTTTCAGATGATCAAATCCTTAGATTAACAGTAAAGAAAATAGCACTCCATAAATACAAAAATACAAGAACCAACCAAACCTACCATTTCTCAAAATCAGTTTACAAGTATAATATTGCAAAGCTAATATAGTTTCATGAAGGCACATTACATAGACCACTAGTGGATGGTCTCGGCACAAGTTCAGCTACACTTACAGGACTTTCTCTGCAAAAGCTAAGTTACTTAACTTGGTCTATGAGATTCAGAAGAACGCAATATCTAGAAGAGCTTACTTTCACAACACTTCTGAATACAAGTGAATTTTTTCTAAAAGTATGTGTGTAACAAGAGATGCGAACAGAGTATTCAAAATGCGCTACTAACACAACAGAAGAGCAAACATCAAACTTAATGATTCTGACAGATAACAGCCATAAGGTTGCTAAAGGCTATAAAGATGCACAAAAATGCATGGAGTAGAATAAAAGCTGCACATACACTTCCACACCATAGTGTTCACATTTCTTCAGCAACGACGGTGATTGCTAGTTTCCTGTTGGGCCACCTGAAGGTTGCTGGTAGAGTGACCTGAAAGAAAAGTGGATTCAAGTAATTATCTACTTATAAAATGACCAAACAAAATATTAGAGGGTATATCCGAATGCGAAATTCAATAAACAAATTGACTTTGACTTAAACTCTTATTAAGATAAAAAAGGAATTAAAATGAGAACAATGTAATAAGAATATCAAATGTTGAATTGGGTGTGTTATTATGTATGCAAGTATGTATGTATATTTATGTATTTATGTATATATGTATATGTATATATGTATATTTATGTATTTGTGTATATATCACATGTATATATATATATATACATATATATACATATACATACATATATATATATATATATATATATATATATATATATATATATATATATATATATATATATATATACACACACACACACACACACACACACACACACACACACACATGTAAACTTAGCCTAGAAATTATCATTCAAACATAAGATGCCAAAAAAATAAAAAAAAAAATAAATAAAACATGCAAAAAAAATCTAAGAACACTAGTTCTCTATAAAAACCTTTCCTGAAAAAGTTACTGCTATCTGGAGAAAAGAAAAAAGAAAAAATCAAGATAACTATTCATTATCAGAGAAGATTCTAAAAACACCAGACATGGAAATCCCTTATACTAAAACTACTAGGCATATAATGTCCTAATGATCTTGTAGCTGATTACCTCCAAGCCTGACATGTCTTCTTGCAAAGTCTGTGCCTAATAAAAGAGTCCAGTACGTTCACTTGCTCTGCTAATCCACAGGCTATATAAACGCAGAGTGTGCTTTCCTCACCTGGCGCCTATGAGGAGCCTCTTGGACCTCAGATGAAGGCTGGGCTGACCTCCCTGATGCCCTACCAGGCAGTCCATGAAAGGACGACAAGCCCTCAGACCCAAAGGAAAGCTAGAGGAAAGGAAACCTAATTACCTAAGAGTCCTCTGAGAAAGCGAACACAAAGCAACACCAGACACAACAACAGGTGCTACTAGAGGGAGGCTAAACGACTACGAAAAAAAAGCCAACTAAATACAACCAGCAAACACATGCCTGTCAGGGAGATTAGCATTCTGCTACATCAAGTGCAAGGCAAAAGCTGGAGAAAGTTGGAGGTGCTTCATCCAATACATCTTTCTAATATACCCAGGAAATGCAGGAACATACTACATATTCATCACATAAGTGTTTAACCCAATGATGCCAGATGGTATCCATTCTTGCCATGAAGCAACAAACCCATATACTGGATCACAAGTATCCATGCCATGGCAGCTGAGAATTCTCTATGTAGTGTGCAAGACAGTCATTCGCTTGTCTGGCCCAGCCTGAGATCAGTAAAACATCAAAGACTTCCAAAGTAGGTTCAGAGCTTCTTTTCTTGAAAAATCAAATATGGTATAGTCAGAACTACTGACAGCTTGGAAAATGTAGTTTTTCTATGCTTGAATTTTTTGCTCAGTCTGCTGCATGTGTGAGGTCTGTGGCAGCCACAATGCATGTGGCATGGCTCAGCTTGGCAAGCGTAAAACCTGTCACCAATGGGTTAAGCCTCCCCCAACCAGGAATGAGTGAGTGAGTGTCTGCAGTGCATTGTCACTTGCCTTGTAACTGGAAAACTCAGAAGAAGCATCTAATGATGTCACTGATACTCTCATAGGCAATAAATATACAGACATCTAACAAAAAATATGTACATGAGCACAAAAGCAGGTACTAGAACCAGCATTCAAGGAACTAAAGCTTAATATATGATTAGTATTCCCTTTTATAAGCCAAAACTCTGTAAACAACACTGCTATGTATGCAAGGGTAAGTAATACATCTAACAGCATTACTAAATGATGTGGTTATGAGAAATATTGACATAATCATCAAAACAAATTGCAATGACAGGTAAAAATGTAAAAAATCAAAATCACGTGAAACATATAATGGCCAATATGTACAACATACTTGGTAGGCAAAAGTCAAGAATTTATCTTGTTATCTACAACTCTCCACCTACATTCACTTCTATCTTTACATTTCTGTACTTAATAGCTCAACATTTTTCAAATGGCTGTATAACCCACAATATTATCACTACACCTATTAAATATATTGTATGAATAATCTTTACTATCTTTCTGGTGTAAAGTCATATTTAGAGACTATTTTATGATTTCATGGAGGTTCAGACATGTAACCTCATCAAGGTCATTATATACTGTAATGAGATGATCAAAATATTATATCTTTTAATGGGGGAGGGGGGGGAATCAAGGAATTTGTCCAGAGACATTGAAATTCCTCATTTC